ACAGCTCCGTAACTAAATGTGACAGACTGAGAGAAGCAGTTTATTAAGACACCAACCCCAAGTTTATTTAGTTCATAAACTCTCTCCTAGAAAATCAATACAGTCTGTACAGGGTTATTAGGCTGACTAGCTAATACATCCAAATCTGGTCTGCCCAGCCAGCAGTCTTCTGACAAAATGCTACCCAGCATAGGCAAACTGAGCTCTTTGAGATCTCAAGGCTTGAGGTTGCTCTAGATGAAACAGGTCTGCAAGGTAACTAGGACCCGTGTATGAGTGCCAAGGTACACATCTCAAAGGCACCAGGATATCTTTCCAAGGTTTAAAATTTTTCAAAACAAACCTATCATACAGTACAGCACTTGCTAAATGGATTGCACAAAACAAAATTTTAACTGGTTTGTAAGACTAGTGTACGAAGAGAACGAGTTTTCTAAGAGATAACGGTTAACCTAAAGTCTTAACAATAAATGAATCAGTAAACTAAAACAAAACCTCAAGCATATACACAGGGTGTGCTTTGTGGATTTTAAATCTAGAATAGTCATTATTAAATCAAGTTTTGAAATTACAAATTAGACTCCTCTAGAAGTCCCCAAAATACATGATCTGAACTTGCCACTCACTGCCAGCATGTAGAGTCTTTGATCTTGGGCTAATTTTCTATCTAGCAAGAAAGGCACAGGTTACAAAAAATAAACCTACAAGGCACAAAAAGAACTTCTAAGTTTGTCCAGTGGCTATATAATCTGTAGATTATGGAAGAGTTGTCTGGAATCATTTGGATTAGAGTTATTTAAGGTTGGGGGTGGGGGGGTAGGCATCATAGTAATCGCTTTGTACTGTCCTGATTCCAAGTATTTCAGGTTAAAGAACTACAAATACTAAAGGCTATGTGCTGGCTTTCCCACATTTACTGATTGTGAGAGATGGACTGTGGAATTTGAGAATACACCAATTAGGTCCAAATGGCAAGCACATTATTAAAGACATTATGGGAATGTGAATACCTCCACCTCACAACAATACATAGCAGATACACACTCAGAAAAAGTAAGAAACAGTGCAGTTTACAATGTTAAAACAGACTGGACAACTGTCAGAAAGAAAACAAAAGATAATAATTTTTGGAAGGGATTCCTGATGTTTATGATTTAAAATGTTCCAAGAAAAGGATTACACTACTAACATGACTTCAGTATACTGGCTCTAAGACACTAAATCCTAAACTTCAAAACAAAAGTCCTTATTTTCACAGGACTTTATTAGAATTCAATTTATAGATTGTTGTAGATAAACATTTTCCTCTAATTTTCAAGCTGGTACCTTATTAAGCATTTCATAGCTCATGTTTTTGAGTAATCTGTAAAAAGTTAGATACATATATATATATATAAATACACATATATATATTCTAAACCTATACTATAGATGCCAATGTTTTAGATAGTAATTAAAAGTTGTAATTATAGAGAAATTGTATTTTTTAAAACCTTTTTGCATATAACTACATACTGTGCCTGTACCCTCAATGAGATCCAATTAGTTGCAAAGAATTTGCATTTCAGTTAGTATGGGATAACAAGACTATAGGGAGGCACAATGCAATTCCACCAGCAGAGTAAGAAAGTGTGTTCTTTCTTGTTAGCTCTGTAAGCAATAATTCCCACAACTGACTGTTTAAAATGTTACTGATCTTTTCAATATTTTGGTATTGAGGTAGATTTAAGTTTTCCCTCCATTAAAAAAAAAAAATCACAAGTTAGTGTAAATATCAGCCACAATGAATACTTACAGGAATAAATGAACAAAGGATTTTGTTTTGTGTGTATGTTTGTGGGGTGGGGGGGTTTGGTGGTGGGATATTGCATGCTTTTTCTTTTCCTCTTAATACTTACTGGTAAGTTCTTTAAAAACACATTGCTTTCTTAAAGTAAGTTCCATAACAAGGGGCAGGGCAACCTCACTGGAAATAATTCTATGTATATATATATATGGTTTTGTGATGCAGGGATGTAGTTAGAACACTGAGAAAGTAGTCAAGGATTTTCATTTCTTCTGGTTATGTTTCCAACAATGTAAATCCTAAGCAAATATCAAATAAACATATAATTTATATACACAGTATAACAAGCATCTCTAGGACTTCTGCTGGTTCACAGAACAATACCTGTAATTCCCTGGGTTCAGTTCAGCAGCTGTTAACAGATTCTGTAATCTGTAATGACAGTAAACTGGCCTTTGCTCTTCTTTTATTCACTATTCATTTTCAAGGCTTGGTTAAGTACAGAGCTGGGTTAAAGATCAGTGGTTTTTCATGTGACACATGCTGGTATTCATCTAATGGCTTGTCAAGACAAAACTGTCCCTGTTCTTGCCAAAATAATAAAAATGACGCTCCACATCGCATGACAATCAGCACTTCCTTATGGCAAAACAACTCAAGCTTTTGTAACTCATTCACTTTACAGAAAAAAATTTTTAATAACAGGCTATCCAA